TGTTCCGTTATCGAAAAAAAAAAGAAAAGTACGTCGTATTCTAGGGTCGTTTTTGTTTGAAGTTAAGCAAAGCTATACGAAGGGCTGTCTGTGCTCTGCCCACCATGGGTATCGAAACCCGGTTTCTGGCATTGTAAGTCCGCAGACATACCGCTGTGCCACGCTGGATCACGGCGATAACAGTGATGGTCAAATCTCATTATTTGTTCCAGCATGGCGAGGTGGTTATGGCGCTCGCGGGTTCGAATCCCCGTTCCACCAAATATGCTCGCCCTTTCAGCTGGGGGGGCGTTATAATATGACGGTAAATCCCACTGTTTGTTGGTAAATGAGTAGCTCGAGAGTTGGTGGTGGGTGGTGATGACTAGCTACCTTCTCTCTAGTCTCACACTACTAAATTAGGGACGGCTGGCGTAGATAGCCCTCGTGTTAGCTTTGCGCGAAATTCGTAACAAACCAAACCAAAATCTCATTATTGAATTAGTCAGGAGTAGCCCAAAAGTTGACGATTGGTGCTACTGACTAACTGCCTTCCCTCTCGTCTACAAGTTTAAAATTATGGACAGTTAATCTTGATAGCACTAAGTAGTTTTTCGCGAATATTCGAAAACTCAACAATCATCCACAAAAAATTACGTTAAATTTCAAACAGTGTTTTCGAGTAAAAAAAAGGCTCACGTTTCCTTAACCTTTGGTTGAAAATTACCTCTGCAGAGTGCGTTTTGTTTTGTAACATTTACTCATTTTAAAAACTTAAAACTTATCCGTGCTACTTACGCAGAAATAATATGTAATATTTCTGTTTTTCATACAATAGCTGAATATAGCAATATATGCCAAGTTTCATTCTGTTGTGTACTTTCGTGACTGCCAGAACTTAGAAATCACTAAATATTCATATGCATTCAGTATGCCCCTCCCCAAAAGGTTCTACGGTAAATCTGAGGGCTTATGACGCTACAAATTGGGTTTCGATACTCGTGGTGGGCACAGCATAGATAGCCCATTGTGTAGCTTTATGCTTAATAACGAATAAACACAAATTTCAATATGGCGCTTAACGTAGACAACGACTGGAAATTGGAGTAAACAAAAAAATTGGATTTTGCTCCATCTCGCGATCGGAGAGAATTCTGTTCACGTTTATGTTCTTGCTGGGTAACCAACGTAAGGGAAAGCAGATAGATAAGGATGTTTAATATTGCAAGTTTCCTTCTTCGCACAATGCTGTTATTAACATTCCGGATGTCAGTGTTTTTTAATGCGCAGTCACAGACTTGTTACGGTGTTCGTAATGAAGAGGCAACATTATTATCGCGAGATGTTGGAAAAGCTTTGTTTAGAAACAAAGCCACGTGTTAAGTTTGATTTCCAGTCACGATCGTCGCTCCACCTACATCGTAGGAACGTGTTGACAATTAATAATTAAGCCGTATAAAGCTTGATAACCTTTCTACCCCCAGTATCCACTGTATCTCCCATATAACCTATGCAACTTCGTTTCTTATCTGATGTTTCCGGTCGGATGAACGTCTTTGTTGCGGAACCAGAAGGACTTTATTACGGTAGGCATGATCGACGTTGGTCTATTGTAATCGCTCTGCCACTGGTTTTTCGGTCTTTTGCCCTGGAATGGACATTACACGCTTGACTTCCCGTCCTGGGTACGAAGGGAAGTGGACTCTGAAAGGTTTGGTATCGTTAGCTTCTAAAACTCTTTTGTTAGGTCTAGGTGTCGCTGCTAATTATTCTTATCCACAATATGTGTGTGGCTCTGGAAGGAAAGGGGGGGGGGACTCTTTCTAGTTCCGCAGAAAAAGTTTTAACTATATGTCATATTTCACATATTTCGTCTGTTTCAGGATCAACGGCTACAGAAGGGACGTGTGGAATAATTAATTCACGAGACACGCCACTAGGAGTATTTCAGCACACCACAACGTCATCTTTATCAACTGGTAGAAATACGACCGAAACAAGGCCGAAGCGCATGCGCACTTCTTTTAAACACCACCAAGTGCGCTCTATGAAATCATATTTTGCCATCAATCATAACCCAGACGCTAAGGATTTAAAGCAACTGTCCCAAAAAACAGGACTCAGCAAACGGGTTCTTCAAGTGAGTTATTTCAGTGTAGACTGTACAAAATAGAATAAAAGATAAAGAAATACCACGAAGTTTAATTAAATCATTACAGATGTGTGTAACATGAAAATAAACACACTTTTTAATAGGTAATAAGTAACATAGCGAAAACAAAACTTTCAAGAATAAGGCTTAGGAAACTTTATTAAATTAATGGTGGTAATAAGTAACTTAACGAAAACAAATCTTTCAAGAATAAGGCTTAGGAAACTTTATTAAATTAATGGTGTTAATAAGTAACATAACAAAAATAAATCTTTCATGAATAAGGCTTAGGAAACTTTATTAAATTAATGGTGTTAATAAGTAACATAACGAAAATAAAGCTTTTAAGAATAAGGCTTAGGAAACTCCATTAAATTAATGGTGGTAATAAGTAACGTAACGAAAAAAAATTGTAAGAATAAGGCTTAGGAAACTCCGTTAAATTAATTTACTCGATGTAGGCCTTTATGAAAAGAAAAGTGGGAATACTTGATACATTACGTGTAATACAGGATTTTTACTCATAACAGGGGAGTTGTGATCCTTAATTATATAATATTAAGCTACCTATATATCTATTATAATAATACTCACTTTTTGTCTGTCCTGAAAACGCCTGTTTTCATGTTATTCATGAAATTTCTGTTATGTCTGTTATGAATTCTTCATAACCTCTGAATAATGGGTGACCAAACGGGTCACGGGTTGTTTAGTATATACTAGAAACTAGGAAACTCCGCTATTTTAGATTTTCGACTTTGCTGTATTTATTGTAGTATGCCCTTTTGCAGGGGGTTTCATTAAGAAAAAGAAGATTGTACAGTTTGTATATTTTTAGCCGCGGCATAACGGCTCATAGATGTGAGTTTTTTGTTTTTTTTTAAGTACAAGCTTTTAGCATATAGATCTTGACCGATTTGAGATCTAATTACAACCGCGGCTGTTGAGGATTCCCTCTTCTTTTTTTTTTAATGTGTAATAACGTTATACTTAGAAGCTTTAAATATTGGTGAAATGTAATTAAAGCAATTAGCATCATTTTCCTTGTGCTTAGATTATGTCTCGATCATTGTATTAAACGTAATATAATTATATACTTGTTCTTGGTAGGTCTGGTTCCAAAATGCACGAGCCAAGTGGAGAAGAAACTTATTACGTCAACAGACCCAAGGACCGGAAGTTGTCCAGGATTCAAAACCACTGGCGGAAATGACGCCACAAGAGACTTTACTCGGCGCTCAGGGGTCTTCGATGAATCTAGCCGAAATGCACCCCACACAAATTATGAAGGAGGAACAAAATGTTTCCTCGTATACAATGATGTTTTAAGATCAAAGATTGAACTCATTAATGTTTATTTTTCTTCTATGTTTTAACCCTACGACGAGACTCAGTAGAGAAGCTAACTCCTACAAGTACGACAGTGAACGTTAACATGTAAGAAGCTGTGAAACCTGTTGTACATTTTCCATAGAGGTTGACATGGAAGTAGAAACCAGAAATTACTCTGGTGTAGTTGACAAAGCCAATAAACTTAGGGTACCCTTCTCTTGTAAACTGCTTAGTTTCAGTTGTTGTTGTTGTTTGATATTAAGCACAAAGCTACACAAAGGACTATCTGTGCTCTACCCACCACGGGTATCGAAACGCGGTTTCTAGCAGTTTAAGTTCGCAGACATTCCGCTGTGCCACTGGGGAGCTCTTGGTTTCAGTATGGAACCTGAGATTTCAAAAAAAGCAGCGTGCATAAATAAATATACAGTTTTATTATGAATAAAGAAACGTGCAAGCCACGTGACAAGAAACGTCATATTTCACTCTGGTTTTAATACTTATTTTTCAAATCAATTCTGCAAATGAAAAATAGTACAATTTCAAACTTAGTAAACTATATCGGTAAATAAACGGACAACGCTTCCAAGGATTCTTTGTTCACAACTTGTTCCCTTAGAAATACGCTCTACACTTTGGTGCATTATAAGAGTGACGGTAAAATCCCACTATTCTGTCTGACAGGAGGTGCCGCCAACAGTTGGTGATGGCTGCCGTTGACTAACCAATCTATCAGTTCAAATTCAGAGGCGATTATTTGTTTGCTTGTCTGTACGTAGAACTGGAACTGTTATTAGAAATACTTCAGTTTGGTTTTTTGTAACAAACATCATTTGTCGTTGTCCAAAAGGATATTCGTTTGTACAATTTCAAAGTTATGCCTTCATTTTAACTGTCATTTCTAATATGAAAATGTTTCAGAATGCTCATTTTCCAATTCATCTTATGTTCTCCGTTACTGTTAAGTTCCTTCATAATATTAAAAATTTCAATACTGATCCAAAATGCATATTGTGTCCACCAGGGGCTACAGTTTCGAGCAGTATTAGCAACTCGGAAAAAAAAAGAAGCTAAGTTTGTCTTTGTTGAATGAAACGGATATGCCAACGTTTAATTTGTTTTTTGGACAAAGAAACGTTATTTTCTCATTACATCAAGCAGCGGGTGACTGTCTTTCGTCTTCAATCATAAAAGTGTTTAAGTCATTTATTATGGACGATATTTACTGACTGTTTTTGTTTTTCATATCAGAAGGCTTTTAAACTTTGTAAATTTGTTGTTGCTTTGAGATAGCGAGGCCGGGTAATTTGATTTGTTAAAAAAGTATCTTTCTAGCAGCAACCCATTAGTTCAGATACTAAACAACTACAAAAAAAAATTGATGTCCAGTTGGTGTTTGTCCCTTGACCCTCAGGTGATGTTTGTTTGTGAGAAGTGTGGTAGCCAGGTAGTTGAACTTGTTAAAAAGTGCTTTACAAGCAGTTGCTATATAATAACTGCTTGGCTCAGTGACAGGGTGCTTGTTTGACACGTGAAGGGGTATCGGGTCGAATGTTTGTTTTTTGAATTTCGCGCAAAGCTACA